TATAAAATAATATTTAATATAAAAAATTGTAGTATTCAGTATTGGGAAATGGTGTGTGTGTGTTAGTGATGGTGATTTTAGTTACATTGTTCCTCCATTAGTTTTTCTGAGTGAGTCCGCAGTAAAGACTTTTCTATTGAAAGAGACTGAAACAGGGTTATAAACTAAGAAGTTCTTTTAACTTTCAACAACAGCTTGTAAGACGCATTTAACAAATGCAGCAAGCAGCGCTGTCATCAGAAATCACCCTTAACGGATGAAAGATAGTACGACAAAGATATCGCTTTCCTCAGCGGACATGTATTTACACACTCGTGCCATCGAACTGTTGTATAAACTCAATATCACACTCGTAGCCGTGAGATATGACTGTATATCAGCACAGATATGTTTACCTACGGCCGAATCACAGCCGTGCTGATACACAGCCATGTCGCACTGCTAGGAGTGTTACATTGCTCTTATATCTCCCAAACCTAGTGAGAAAAACTCTTGTCATTTAGAGAAAGTAAAGAGGAGACGTCTTCCAGTCAGCTTGTTATCTCTCTCATACGTCCAGTCTTTCTGTCTTCAGTCAGTGTTTTTGTGTCTAAAGCTCTATCAGGTTTCCAGTGTCCCGTCCTGTGATCATTCCTCTCCGCTCCACCTGTCATATTCACTCTAACGAGAGCCGGAGCTCGTTAAAGCTACAGATGAAGCTTCTCTGAGATCTCTCACTCCACATTCGGCTCAGAATTTAGCTTTTAAAGGCACATTTTGAGAGAAAAGATATAAAACAAATGACTTCTGACTGAGTTCAAGAAGCCGTAGGTGAGTAGTTCCAAACTATGGAGTCAAAAGGCATTTGACAGAAACTCTGTGTGTGTTTGGGAAGTTTTCGCCGCTTTGACTGTTTTATTGGCTGTAAAAGCTTCTGAACACATTGTAAAAGACTGCAGTTTGGTGGAAACCGTCCAAACATCCACAAACAGCAATAATAAAGTTATTTTTATTCCAACTATAACGTTTCTGCCTGGTTCATCCTGGGCGTGTTTTAATAAGTTATCGAAAATCCCATCTTTCTGGAGCTCAGCTGTGCGTTTTCACTTTCCACTGCGTAACTTTGCCCTCAAAAGAGTTTAGAAAACGAACCTGAAGTACGGCCATAAATGTGAAATTGCCTCGTAAAAATCAGGGGCAAATTTTGCTCAGGGCAACACAGAGATTGAAAGACGTTCATATGGTTTAATATCTGTTTGTGATCTTTTTAAAACGTACAGAAGGACGGTTTTCTGGCTTTGGCATCACATGGACAAAATTAGCACTTTCTGTAAATAGTCACAAATTAGTTGTACAAAATATCACCGCTTGAAATGAAATGACTAAAAAGTCTTTCAAAAACATGTTCAGGTCATTTTTTGTACAGTTAAGATTTTTTGCATTATGATATCATTTTCACGATAATTAAGCATGTTTCTCTTTACCTTTTGCAAAACAAATATCGCTCTTTTAAATTACATTTGAAAAAAAAAATTAATTTTGAATTTTAATCAAATGTATATTTTATATGATGCTACAAAGATAAGCTCACCTTTGATCATGTTCTAAAATATGTATATAAATATGTGTGTGTGTGTGTGTGTG